TTGCGATACCAATGGTAGATTTCACAGAACTAGAACAAATATTCCAAAAATCTGTATGGAACCACAAAAGACCCTGAATAATCAAAACAGCCTGGTACTGGCATAAAAACAGACATTTAGATCAATGGAACAGAATAGAGAGCCCAGAAATAAACCTGTGCCTTTATGGTCAATTAATATTTGACAGAGGAGGCAAGAACATACATTGGGGCAAAGATAATCTATTGAATGAATGGTGTTGGGAAAACAGGACAGATACATGCAAAAAAGATGACACTAGACCATCTTCTTACACCATGCACAAGAATAAACTCAAAATCAATTAAAGACTTAAATGTTAGACTCAAAACCATAAAAATCTTAGAAGAAAACAAAGTCTCAGACATTTCTCGTAATAATATTTTTTCCGATGTATTTTTTGGGGACAAGGGAAATAAAAAGTGGGACTGCATCAAACTAAAAAGTTTTTGCACAGCAAAGAAACCATCAACAAAATTAAAAGACAACCCACTGAATAGGAGAACATATTCGCCAGTGATACATCTGATGGGTTAATATCCAAAATTTATAAAGAACTAATGCATCGCGACACCAAAAAAGCAATCCAATTTAAAAAATGGGCAAAGGACCTGAATGGACACTTCTCCAAAGAGAACATACAGATGGCAGATACACGTGAAAAGATGCTCAGCATCACTAAGTTACAACTATGGGCCATCACCTCACACCTGTCAGAGTGGCTTCATCAGTCAACACACGTGCTGGCGAGGATGTGGGGAGAAGGGGACCTCGTGACTGCTGGTGGGAAGGCAGCGGGTGCAGCCCCTGGAAAACAGCATGGAAGGTCCTCAAAAAATTAAAGGTGCAACTGCCTGTGACTCAGCAGTCCCACTTCCGGCACTGCGTCTGAAGAGCCCGAAACACGAGTGTGAGAGAACATCTGCACGCCTCTGTCACAGCCGTGCTACGTACAGTAGCCACGCCAAGATCTGCAAACAGCCAAGTGCAGACGAATGACTAAAATGCTGTGGTGCATTGACACACGGAATCCTACTCTTTGCGACAGCACGGAGGGACCTGGAGAGCATTATGCTAAGTGCACTGAGCCAGTCGGAGAAGACAAGCGCCATAGGATCTTTCTTATATGTGGAATCTAATGAACAAAATAAACAAACTATAAACAGACTCATGGAGACAGAGAACAGGCTGACAGCTGTCAGAGGGGAGGGGGCTGGATGAGAGGTGAAGGGATTAAACAGATAAGACTAGTATATCTGTTGCAAATCTGGGTAAGACACACACCCCTTACTAATTTAAATGCATGTTGGCGCAGTCTCTTTTAAGAAAACAAACTAACATTGAGTAACAATCTCCACATTCTTAAAGAGCATTAAATATAATATTTTTTTAAACTATATTGATTTCAGAGAGGAAGGGAGAGGGAGAGAGAAAGAGATAGAAACATCACAGATGAGAGAGAATCATGGATCGGTTGCCTCCTGCACACCCCCTACTGGGGATCGAGCCTGCAACCAGGCATGTGCCCTTGACCAGAATAGAACCCGGGACCTTTCAGTCCGCAGGCCAACACTCTGTCCACTGAGCCAACCCAGCCAGGGCTAAATATAATATTTTAAGGCCACAAATGACGCTTCGGAGGGGACTATAATACCCACGAATGACCATGTTAAGTGAGTGTCCAGTTACTGAAATACCTTCACTTCCCCAGATTTGCTCGCTGAGAATGGCCGCCTGACCAGCACGCCCGCCGTCATCGCCGCCTTTTCCACCATGATGAGCGTGCACCGGGGGGAAGTCCCCTGCACGGTGACCACCGCATCGGTGAGTGAGGGCTGTGGCCGCTGCGTCCGCCTTGGCATTTCGTGCATCACGTTTGGCAGAACAAAAAAGAAAAAGCGGCTAAAACCAAGACCTGGGGAGAGGTGACCTGTCACGGGAGGTTTGCTCGGTTCCGCCTGCTTCTGGGAGCCTCCGCTCCGGGGGCCTCACGCACCTTCACGCCGCCCTGACAGGGCTGTTCCTGAGGCTGGAGACGGGCTGAGGGTGTGAGGGACAGCGCTTTGTGCTCCGACACAGGTGTGAGTCTGTTAGTTCACTGAGACTCGGGTTCCCAGCCTTTGGGGTGAAGGGGAGAGTGTGGGGCACACAGGCCCTTGGCTCTCGCTGACTTGATGGCGTGGGCTGCGATAGGCGCCATTTACTGAACCCTCCATGTGCCGGGTGCCTTTGTGATTTACTGTCCACAGCCCATGGAAGTAGAAGTGATTATCTCCCTGTCACAGGCGAGGAAACCAGCCCAGGGAAGTTGAGTTGTTTGTTCTGGTCACAAGTGGTGAAGCCCGGATTTGAACTCAGACCTCTCTCCACAGCCCATGCTCCTTCGGCTACCCCTCCCCGGAGTTCATTTTCTTGCCCTGAGTCTGTCTGTTCCTGCTGCGCTTCAGTGTGGGAAACCGCCTGTGGGACTTCCCCCCGGAGAGCGAGCAGGTGTGCTCGGAGTCTCAGCGCCTGCCTCCGGCGGCCATTCCTAGTCCGTACGGCGCTCTGGTCTCCAGAGAGCGGTGTCAGGGACATTTCATTTCATTTCATTTATTAATTGATTTTAGAGACAGAGGAGAGAGACATCGATTTGTGGTTCCCCTTACTCCTGCCTCAGTGGTGGGCTCCTGTGTGTGCCCCGATCACGAAGGAACCCGCAGCCTTGGCGAGCAGGACGATGCTCCAGCCTGGCCGGGCCAGTTTCAGGGACATTTACCGGCTCGAGGGCCACACTGTCCCATGGCCGGGCCCGGGGCAGGTCACTCTGCTCTTTAAAAAACATACACTTTGATTAGTGACTAAGGGCAGCGACTTTAGAAATAGACTGATTTCCAATGGTGGCGCTGGTCCTCACTCCCTGGGCAACCTTGCGTGGGTTTCTTAGCCACTGTGAGCCTCAGTTCTCACACACGTGAAGTGGGAATAATGGCTGCTGGCCTCCCGGGGCGATGGGGCCTCCCGGGTGATGGGTATTTTTTCCTGACGCTGGGAAGTGTCCATTTTGCTTCATGTGAGTGTAAAAGAGGGTTATGTTCTTTTCAGGCTTTAGATGAAGCCACTCTCTCTGAATTAAAGACGGTCCTGAACAGCTTCCTGGCTAAAGGCCAAGTGTTGCAGTTGAAAGTTAAGGTAGGTTTTTATTACGTGGGGTTTCCTCAGGCTGTCACTCGGGACAGTGAGACGTCAGGTCTGCTCGTGCTGATGTGCCTGTCGTGGGCCTGGGGTTCCCGTCTAAGGGCTGCAGGTCCGCTCCCAGCGGACGGCCTCTTTCTGGGTGAGCTCCTGTCAGTGCAGGCAGCATGCAGCCTTGGGAGCGCTCTGCGTCTTCCCTTTTGCTTGGCGTGAGGTCCGTGTGTTTTCACATGTCCAACCTGTTTCCTCCTAGACTGACCCGTCAATCATGGGCGGGATGATTGTGCGCATTGGAGAGCGGTATGTTGACATGTCTGCGAAAACCAAGATCCAGAAGCTGAGCAAGGCCATGCGGGAGGTGTTCTGAACGCGCTGAGGCTTCTGTCGGTGAAATGTAAAGCTTGGAGCAACAATAAAATGCTTCCTGAACAGAACATGCTGTTCACTGTTCTTCACGTGGAAACACGGGAGCCTTACTTTTATATGAGGGGCCCGGTGCACAAACTTGTGCATGGTGGGGTCCCAGGCCTGGCCTGTGATCAGGGCCGATCAGGTTCCTCACCTCCCAGCCACTCCGCCTCCTCCTTCCCTCACTCCTTCAGCACCTAGCGCTGCCGCTGGTCGCCTGCCATGTTCTGCACCACCCCCTGGTGGTCAGCACACATTAGCGAGCGATCGAACTCCCGATTGAACGCCCAAGGGGAAATCTTGCATATTAGCCTTTTATTATATAGGATTGTTCTTGCAGTATCTCCTCGTAAAAAGACTAAAGGCCCTTTGGCTAGAGAACCTAGAGTGTGTAGATTATTAGGAATCTAAGGAAGCTCGTGTCCGTTAGGAAAAATAGTTACCCTGTTGAGCCTCATTTTATGCCCGGCTCCCTAACGCCTGTCTCCCTGGCCTCACCAGGGCGGGGCTGAGCCTGGGGGGTTGGGTGCCTGCGAACCAGCCTGCTGGTGGTCTTGGAGTTTCCGCTTTTAGTGTCCATCTCAAACAAGGACCCTGAAAGCGGTTCTCTGGGCCAGACAGGCAGCCGCCCCTCTCTGCTGCCTCCCAGTGCCAGGATCCACCCCATCACTGGCCTAGGGGGTTGGGCTCCTGAAGTGCTGGGTGGTGCTCATCCACTTATTCTTGTGTGTGAGTGTGTGTGTGTGTGTGTGTGTGTGTACATAGCTATAATAATGAATGCGTAATATGCTAATTAGACCAGACATCCTTCTGGACGAAGCCAGGGCTGTACAGGAAGCCAGGGTCCCGGTGCCGGAGGGAAGCCGGTGCCAGCAGCAGGGGGAAGGAAGGCCTACTCTCGCACGCATTTCGTGCATCAGCCTCTAGTATATTTATGATGTGTGTGTGTGTGTGTTGATTTTTTTTGTTGTTAATTTTCACCTGTGGATATTTTTTCCATTGAGAGAAGAAGGGAGGGGGAGAGAGAGACATCAATGTGAGAGAGACACATAGATTGGTTGCCTCCTGCACGCGCCCCGACCAAGTCCAGACATTGAGCTGCAACGAGGTACATGCCCTTGACCAGAATGAACCAGTGACCCTTCAGTCCATGGGCCAGTGATCTAGCCACTGAGCAAAACCGGCTAGGGCTGTTTTTATTGAGGGAGAAACATCGATCGATTGCCTCCTGCATGCACCCTGACAGGAGCAAACCTACAACCGGGCATGTGCCCTGACCAGGAATTAGACCGTCAACCCTTTGGTGTACGGGGCGATGCTCAACCAACTGACTCACACGAGCCCGGTGCCCGTCCCGTCACCTGACACGCTGCCCCGTCCTGTGCATTTCGACCTGGTGTGAGCCCAGTGGTTTGTCTGCGATCCTGCCCTGTATGGTGTCTTAGTGTAAAGGCAGCAGTGTTTCCTGTAGCGGCTCTGACAGATTCTGGCAAAACGGCTGTCTCCGCTCCAGAATCTACAGGGTCGAAGAGTGAGTGCTGTGCTAACAGGCCTTCGGTGGGGCAGGGCCAGAGATGCTCAGCAAGAGGAGGCAGCAGAACAGGTTTTTCACCTGCCACCCCCCCCCCTTCCCGCGCCCCCGGCATGACCTGAGTGGTGTGAGCCCAGACAGGAGACAGGACTCCCGCCCCCACCGCCAGCAGCTGCTCCAGGGGAAGGCCCATTGGGCCCGCCAGTCAGGCCTCCAGCCAATCAGGCTG